GCGCAGCCGCAGCCACAGACCAACGCAGCGCAGCGGTAGAGGTGGGGCGAGCAGCAGCAGAGGAGACAGACACAGACTGAGACGAACACACACAAAGGCACACAGAGACGCACGCACGCACACCAACAATCAAATTGCAGGCGCAGCCAATAAAACGCCACTCAAAGAAAACATGCGAAACACATTAAAAGCAATAAACAAATCAAGCAGGAAGCAGCACAGAAAAAAAAGAACTACTCAAAAAGAACAAACAAAAAAAAAAAAATGCTAACAAAAATAAAAAAACACTCCGGGCTCATAAAATCTTAAATTGAAGTGAAGCTAAACTAAAGTTGCAATTAGGCAGACGAATTATTTAGTTTTTAATGTCGATGTCATAAAAAGTGCTAAACAAAGCGTACACACGGCTAAAAACTAATTATTACGCAAATTTTGTTTCTTTTTTATTTGTTTGTAGACAAGATTAAAAAATATTAACAAAGTGTCAATGACACATGAGCATAAAACACTCAAAGGGAGAGCGAGAGAGCGACATACACAAAGAGGAAGCAAAGATAACAGAAGTGTCGTTGGCGTTGACACTTTAGTTGTAGTTGTAGTTGTATTTGTGGCTGTTGCTATTGCTCTTGTATTTGCCTTTGTGCGATGCACTCCTTTCTCTTTCACACATACATATGTAGCAAAACATTGCAAATAATTTACCGCAACTTTAACGCCTCACCGGCACCGCTCTCGTGCCTGCGCTCTCTCTCTCTCTCTCTCTGTCTCTCACTTTCGGGCGTTAGCCGCTCTCCCACTCCTATGCGCTCGCGGCGTTCGTTTCGCATTGTATTTTTAGAGGTTCACTAACTTTAGTGCTGTTAAACACACAAATGCGATGCTTGTGAGTATATGTGTATGTGTTTTGTGTTTGTTAAGTTTGTTTTGTGGCTGTTCGCTTAATTAAATCTCTAGCCCTGACACTTTTTTCATTGACAAGGCAACCTGCGCCCGAAACTCCGAACAGCCGAAAATAGCAAAAGCCACAACAATAAATGCGAATTAGGTTTACGAGTGCTTGTGTGTGTGTGTGTGCACGTGTGTTTTGTGTATTTACGCTTTCGCAAAAAAAAAAAAACATTATAGCAGCTAAATTTTTGCTAGCGCAAGCAGCAAGCGACGCTACGTTGGGAAAGTCAATTCGCCGCGTTAAGCGTAAAGCAGGAAGGGGAAAGAGGGTGGGGGAAACGACCTTGGGAAGCGGCGCGTTGATTTTTACAATGTTATTATTGTTGAAGTTTGCAAGTTATGCAGTTTTGTTATTGTTGCTGTTGTGTGGGCTGCTTATTTAAGTCGTCTCTTTTTCTTTTCTTTTTTTTTGGCATAAATTAAACAGCGAATTTATTACTTTCAAATGCGGCGTGGGAAAATTTTGCGGTTTGCCAAGCAAAACGAAATTAAAGGTGTTTGCAAAAAATAAATTTCATAACTGTTTTAAGGCAGCAATCAAAAACTTAATTAAAACAAATAAACCAGATAATGAACTGCAAACATCTAAAACGTTTCAGATATTTCCATTTTCAAATATCGCTCTCTCTCTCTCTCTGTCTTTTCTGCAGCCATCTGTCTCTGCAGTCTTTTAACCTCGCCTTAAATTTTGTCAATTCGGACAGCCAATCAGAGCACTTGCCCGCACCCCGCTATTTGCTTTTACCGTTAACAGTAAATGTTCCGCATTAACATGCACATCTACATACGACCACACACACACAGGCACTCATCCATACCTTTGACTGTCGCAGTTCAGAGCTTTAGAAATCCATCAAAATTAAGAAGAAGAGAAGCGAATTCTTTGTGACTCATGCGACGCTCAACGATAAGCAACAACAACAATTAAAAAAGCGCAGTAGAAATGGAACAGGAGAAGAAAAAAAAACATGGGTATTTATCAATAAGCCGGAAGTGCAAAGCGCAGAACATACGAGAAATTAGTTGATAAATCGCATGGAATAAAAAAAAAAAAAAAAAAAAACAGCACACGGCTAATAAAGAGACATAAAGAGTGAGAGCGAGTGTGGGATGAGTGATCAGGGAGAGGGGTGGAGGGTATTCCAGTTCGCTGCATAAATCAAAGTCATATTAAGCGAAGCGAAACGAATAAATTCGTAGAAGTGTCAGTGACAGTGACGTCACAATTTCAACAGAAAACAGACCACAGAAAACTGAATTAAATTAAAAGCTGTTTTAGACAGAAATTCCCCCTGCTTGCTTTTAAGCAAGTTATGAATAAGCGTCAAAGTGACGCGTCTAAGTTCTGATAACCTGCGATTGCGTTTGCACCAGCACCAAGAGACACTGACAGCGAGAAAGAGAAAGAGAAAGAGAGATGCAAACCGGTTAACTGCCTGTCAATAAAACCAAAAATCCAGTAAATGCCTAAGAAATGACACACACATGCTCGCGCTCACACTCACACACACACGTACGCACAGCTCACGCAAAATGAACGAAGCGTAGCCAACAAGTGGACAACAGAGACAGCAATAACAATAACACCATGCGCCGTTATTCTTGTAGTGCGTTCTAGCGACAAGCCATATGCATGCAAGAAGCAGACTGAATAAGCATCTCAACGGCGTATTACTCATGCTAATTCTACACAGGCAGACACACACACACATACATAGGCATACACAGTCCCAGCCAGTGTTGGGCAGTAAGTATAATGAACTACTTAACTCGGAAACAAGTTGTCGCACCGTGGGCAAAGAGATACTTATTCTGTGTACTCTATATACATACATACATATTTGAATATGTATATTGTAATCGCATTGTTGTTGTTGTTACCACGTGCCACTTACAGCTTAGCGTGGTAACACCATAAATGAGGTCGCCGCGAAGGAGGCGTGTAGACGTGGGACGCAAAAGAAAACAATCTACTTTTTTTTTTTTTTGCAAACTGGCCGCATTTCTTAGCCGAAAAGTTTTATAGAAGTGAACGGCACGAGTGACGCATGCGAAATTGTAATTTTAGACATTTTATTGACACTTTTTTTTGTTTATGATTGAACTTAATTGTGAAATGGGCAATCGAAAAGATTAGAGTAGCGAGTACATTACGCCATGACACCTTCCACAATAGGCAGTAGATAGAGATATTGGCGTAATAGTAAATCAGCAGCTAAAATATAGCTGAATTACGTGTGCTAATGGAAATTCGCTGTATACAAAACAGAACTTTTACATAACAGCCAAGTACTATTTAAGCGAATCGTAACAGCCTACAGTTCAATAGCTAGAATATAGCTTTTTTTTTGTGCCAATCAGTAGCTAAACTTTACAAAACTATCGAAAGTATTGGCTGCAAAGATTTAAAGTTGCAATGCAACCAAACAAATAAAGACGAATGAAAGAGAAGGAAAGTGTAAAGTGTAGAGTGTGTAGAGTTGTGGAGAGAGAAGTGTAGAAGAACTTGCCGTTGGCCTCCCAAGCGCAGCGCATGCCATAACAGAAAAATACTGAAGAAACAGAACAGAGTGAAGCGCAACAACAACAACAGCAAATGCTAACGGTAATCCCTAGAGTATCTATTTTTGTAGCTGCCGCTGCATTGTGTTTGTATCTTGCAGTTATAATTTTGAAAACTTGTAATTTAAATACAAAGTCGTGGCATTGTTTATCTCGCATTTCTCTACCCCCTCTCTCTCTCTCTCTCATTCACTCATAGTCGTTCGTTTCTGATTTTTCAGGCAAGCATTTGGTTTAAATCTTTGATGTGATTATTATTATGATGATGATGATTATGCTTGTTGTTGTTGCTGCTGCTGTTTGCCCTGTGGCATGAATTCGAAAAGCGCGCGTGAAAGAGAGAGCGAGGGAGGGAGTGTGAGAGAGAGAGAGAGAGAAAAATGTGTTAATGTGTGAGAAGAGCGGCACAGTGAAGTTTTGGTCGCCCAGCGGCCTAGCGGTTCGCAACTAATTAAGGCACAGCACACAGAACGAGATACAGATACAGCTGAACAGATACAGATACTACGTACATATAGATATATTTCTGTACGTTTGTATTTATGCAACTCATCTTAGCTGCCAGCAGCAGTAGCAGCCACAACTGCGACGCATTCAAGCATCAAGTCTAATGATTGCTAATTACAAGACAACAACAACAACAACAAACAGTACTCAAGAAGAAGAAGAAAGAAAGAAAGGGGGGAGCAACAAAGTGAACTAAACTAAACTTAAATTGAGTGAGATCATTGCGCCGTAACCAAATCGACTCGCTTGGACTTCAATAGAAAGCGGCCAACATTCAAATTGGGCAAACAAATTGTTTTCAATATCTCAGATCTGATGTATGGCAAAAGCAACAACAATTCACTTTTTATAGCAAATGCTACAATTAAACAAAACAAGAAAAACAACAAAAATCTGCTTAAAAGCTAAACCATTTTTCACGGTTATCAACATATTTGTTTGTAAGTAATTTTAATTGATTTTTCGTCTGTAAATTAAATTCACATAGAGTGGAATCGTTAGAGGATGGTTTTAAGAGGAAATGCTCTGCATTAATAATGGCTTTCTATAATTTGCAGATAGTTGTTTGAGTATGAAATGAAAAATGATTGAAAAGCTTTCTATTTCGTAGATAAGCTGACGAACCTTAAACAGAGTTGAATTTAAGACTTTTATAGAATTGTATATTTATATTGGAAGTTACGTTTTTCGTCTGAACATTGCGCCTCATGTAATATCTTATTTCGTATACCAATATACATATGTATTTATAGATAACTTGGTATATTGTTTATAATCTATCAACTTAGCTTAAGTGAACAAATACTGAGTGTTTTCTCTTATCTATAGTCTTGCTGATACTTTTGTTTAAAGACACGAGGTATTTCACTTTGTTTTCAGAAAACGCGCTTAAAATAACAATTTGATTTTCACTCGGATAAACAATCGAGTTCAAGTGCCTGACCTTTGAACCGTCTCATTGAAATATCGATTTGGACACTTACCTTATAGACCTGGCCGTAGGTGCCATTGCCAACGACCTCGATGAGCTCAAAGATGCCAGCCGGATCCTGCAACAAAGAGGAGACAAAAAAGGCGTTAGCAGGAATCAGAAAAAGCAGAAGAGAGAAAATGATGTCAAAGAACCAAATGCAATAAAAACAAACAATTGAGACAATAACGAAAAAGGGGAAACGCCCAAAAAGGAATATACATATATGTATGTATATATATATACATATATAAATCCTGATGCAAAACGCAAATAAAGGCTGTCAGCCAAGCGTTGAGATGAGCTAAGAACAGGGCGGGGCACTTAACCAACAACAACAACGATCACAACAACATCAAGAGGGTTTTCTCTTTTGTTTTTGTTTGTTTGTTTGTGTAAACAAATTATTAAGGCATAATAATACAAATAAGGAATGCGGCGCAGCGTTAAAAATAAAGCGGCATTTAATACAAATACAAATACAAATGCCGTACCTCTCCTCCAAGCATACCCCCGCCAACTGAACTCTGACTATGCCCCTGGCTCATGTGCATGTCAAGCCATACAACAACAAATCGCATGCGAGTTCATTGACACGCAGCAGCAGCGGCAGCACGAGCGTGTCACGACCCGCTTGCCGACTGGAGCGTGGGCCAAAGGCTAGAGGAAGGGTGCGTGAGAGCCGTGAGTGCCGACTGACAGCAAAGGTAAACGCCAATTAAAATAACAACAATTTCAACAGGTAACTTGTTTTCTTTCTGACAGAAGCAAATCGTCGTCAAATGCTCCAAATTCGTTTAATGACAGCAAGAGAGGGAGAGGGAGAGAGAGAAAGGGGAACGAGGCGGAAAACTTCGTTTATCGAGACATGCAAAACATGAATTTTGACATGACATGAATATAATTGCACTGAAGATTTACATAATAATTTAGTTCAGCTCAAATATACAATATTCTTATTAGAATGTTAAGAATAGATTTCCAATTGGCGTGACTGGCACAGATTATCGATTAGCTATTCTTTTTGGAATATATTTATGCATACATATTTGATTATATATTTATTTTGATTATGCGAACAATGGAATTAGAAACAGTTTTGCAGAGAAACCATATTCCATTTGAGAAAGTTCTATAGAAGTCTATTGGAATGCCGACATGATAATCACATAATTATTAACTCATCGATTGTTAAAACTATCGATACTATCTTCAGTTCACTATGCATAAATGTATGTCTTTCATTTCAGCAAATTCTATCTATTTTTTTCCCCTTTTATCCATTTTCAACGACAATTCTTTACTTACTAACTCTATCGATGATTATAATATAATATGCTTATTCGATAGTAATACCTCCTGTCGCTTTATCATTTCTTGTTTGATTCGTGGCTCTGATAGTAAATCCATTTCTTTAAGCCTCTTCGCTGCACTGCATGAATTCCAGCCCATTGTTAGGGAATGTTCTTTAGTGACGCTCTTTAAAAGCTTCAGCTGCATACATTTCAATACTCAGCAGTATAACACATCTCACCTCACCTCCCCTCACCTTAGATCGGCTTACCTTCGGCGCAGCCCCTTGAGACAAAAGCTGGTGTGCTGAGCGGCTCTTTGGGCTAACGGTAGCAGCAATTTGCAGGCAACTGCCTCAACGACAGGAATTATAAAAGGCAAAAGACAAAGCATAAGTCGAAGTCGACAAAAATAAAAAACAAAACCACAAAGAGAGAGAGAGAGAGCAGAAAGTGCAGAAAAGGAACTATTGAAAGCTGCCTTAAGTAGATTTATGGCTGCCTTTAAATGAGCCAACGTCAACACGCCTTCTCCTCCTCCTATGATTGTTCTCATTCCTGTTGTTGTTGGTTTTTAGTGTGTCAAACACATATGACAGAGAGAGAGAGAGAGGGAGAGGAGAGAGCGCAAGCAGACGTCAGACTGGAAGCCAGTCAGCAATTACTGCTATTTATGGCTGATTACTTCACGTTGTAAAATCAATTAAAAATGCACAAAAAAAAAACCACACGAACCACCAAGTGCTGCTGCTCCCCAAAGTATTCTCCCTCTCTCGCTCTCTTTCCCTCTCATTTGTGCTTTGCAAACCGCTTTATGACTCATTAGCGTTGACATGCTAAGGCGAAACAAAAACCTAAAACGAACGAAATGCTGCAGTTGTTGCTGCAAGTGCGAGGGATTAAGAAAGAGAGTGAGAGAGAGAGGGAGCTGTGTATGTTGAATTTTATGAATAGTTCTGACAACAGAGCGCGCTGCGGTTACAGTTATCAGTTGTGCTTGCCTGCTGACCAATATGCGCTGCTCTGCTCCCACTCCACTCGCATCTCTATTGCGTGCTCATTCTTTTCAGTTTTTATTTTTTGTGCACTCGCAGCGGATATTTGCATTTTGTTACGAAATGTGAGCGAAGCCGTATGAGCTTATCAGATATATAATATATATAATTATATTTGAAATCTTATTTGTATTGCGTCTTTGAAGAATAAAAAAACATTTAGTATTTTAAGTAAATCTAGTTGATTATTTTCTTGATTTCTTTTGCCAGTCATGTACACATATACATATGCATATACATATGTATGTGTTGCTCATCTGCTAGGGTATATCATCTTCCACAATTCTTTCAACGTTCTTTCGCCTGTTTGCCTTTGTCTCTGATTCGTGTTGTATTTGTTAAAAACGGGCACGAGTGCAACTAAAACTAAAACTAAACAGCTCGCTGGCGACTCGTCTAAAACTTGCTGAAGTTGCTGTTGTTGTTGTTGTTGTAGTTGCTGCTGCTGTAAAACTGGATTTCTTTTTGGCCGTATACGAGGCTTGGCCCAGTTAGCGTTGCAATGATATATACTGATGTATACATACATATATAAATATATATATATGTACATACATATATATAATATTGTCTGTGTGTAACAAGGAGACTCGCCAACAGGACTGACGGCATATCGAACGCCCATGCCCAAGCAGTTTTTTTTTTGCATATGCATGAGAGACAGAGATAGAGAGAGGGAGCGGAGTATGGGAGCAAGGCAATAGCAGAAGATAAAACACATATGTAAATGGATATGCAGAGGCAATGTATGCGTGTGCGTGTGCGTGTGTGTGTGTGTGTGTGTGTGTGTGTGTGTGTGGGCTGTGACCAATTCGATTTGGAATGCAAAACATATTACCAAGCGCTTGAAGCTAAATAAAAATATAAAAAATGTGTCTAAGAGCAACAGCAAATTAAGCTGACGGAATGGGAAAAGAAACCAGTTAACATGCTCCGTGTAAGACGGAAACTAATGAACAGCTACAGACGGTGTAAAAACGAGCACATTTACAAAAGAATTATGGGTCTAACATTTAGCTTGAAATATATGCATATGTAGTATTTTTTTAGTATGAAAATTAAAAACAAATAAAACATTTTTTTATGTTGTAAGATTTGAACAACTTCCTACTTCAAGGAGTATGTATTTAGTTACGATACAACTAGTTGCGAAATGAAGTGTTTTACTCTTATATATGTGCTTGGTTTAAAATTGATAAATACTAAAGTACACACACACTCACACACATGCACAAGCATTCACGCACATTTCCATTTGTGCTAAAATATTGAATGCTTCGGTTTTGCCCAGTGTATTTACCCAAAGCCATGTTGATTTAACCCACAAACGTACCAAACCCAAACACATGTGTGATTTGTTGATGTTGTTGTTGTAAGCAACAACAATCAAAAGCAACTGCACAAATTGCAGCACTCCAAAAACAACAAACACCAAATGTGGGCGAACACGTTTTTATCGCAACAAAGAGCCAAATGCAATAAACGTTGATTAAAATAAATACACATACGCACACGCACACACGCACACACTTACACCGCAATGCATTAAAGATAAACAAAGACAAAGACTTCGGACGCGTGTGCCTGTGTAAGTGTATGCGTGTGTGTGCGTAAGAAGCACCCGACACATGGCCCATGCACAAATGAAGGCAATCAGCAAAAGAGCGCGACGTCAGAAGCGACTGCAGCGCTTATCAAACTGTAAAACGAAAAGAAAACAAAAACAAAAAAAAGCGAGCAGAAACAAATCAAACTACATTTGTACAAGAGATAGAAAGGGAAAGACTGCTCACACACATAAATACACTCGCACGCACACATTCACACATTAGTATCTACATTACAGTGGTCAATCGATAATTAGAACGAATAACTCTAATTGGTAAACCCTTGCAAGTTCCAAGTTTTACGAATAAATGAAAGCCTTTGTATTAAATACTTAATTTTAAATTTTTTTTTTTTTTTTTTTTTTTTTTAATTACTTTTATTAAGCAACCACTGTACATAGATAGACATATCCACAAATAATTAATGAAATGACGCTGATAAATGCATTTATGTTGTTGTTTTTAGTATCTTATCAGTTTTCCAGTTGCACAGGGCATAGGAGACATTAGAAGAGCAGGAGGAGGAGGAGGAGGAGGAGGAAAAAGCAGTAGTGGCTTGGGCAGCGACAATAAACAGCCAAATGCCATTCGCCTCGGCGCAGCTTTAAGGACTGTGACCTTTTGTCAAGCAGCGCCTGGCTGCTGCGACAACAACAACAACAACACCAACAACAGAAGAAGAAGAGCAATATAGACAACAAGCTGTATACTATTTCGGGGCACGTATTTCATTGTTTAATGACCTTTAAAAAGCCAACGCAGACGTCGGCGCCCACGCGCCTGCTGCGAGAAGGCCAACAGCAGCAGCAGCAGCAGCAGCAGCAGTTACAACAACAACAACTACTACTACTGATGGGGCCATCACACGCCTGCCATTTTTTTCCTCTTCAGTGCTTCATCATCATCTTCATGTCGTCTGTGCACACACATACACACGCACGTACACACATGCTACTGCTGCTGCTGCTTCTTTTAATAAAGTAAACTAAACAATTTTCATTCTTGTCTCGTTTTTGTCTCGTCTTCTTCGACTATGAAGAGCAGCACCACATGCACATATGCACATACCAATACACTCACACACACAGCCATGAGAGGAAGAGAGAGAGAGAGAGTCAGTCGTTGTCGTCGCAATCCACCTTATCCTCCAGCAACCCCACCACACTGCCCATCCACCCGCTGCAAGACAGAGTCAACAAACGGACACACACACATACACACAGAGACAGGCAGCGCCGTTTCTCAACACTCGCAAAACTTTACTTTCTGTGGGTGCTGCGACGCCGACGTCACATCGACGCATTGTATGCCGCCCAACGTGGGGCGGCAGTGGTGAGTTTTCAGAGCTCTGTGGTGAATGTTTGCTGAAAGAGAAAGGCAACGGCAACGGCAACGGCTCGGCCGAAGGCAAATGGCACAAGCAACGCGTGCGGCTTGTGCGTGCGTGTTGGGGACATGTTCATTGAGAAATGAAAAATATAAAAGACAAGCGAGCAACAACAACAGCGAACCATAAACAAGACTTGGCAAAGACGCTGACACCGGCCGGTCACTGCTGCCGGTGGTGAGTTTGAGGCGAAAATGGGGGTGCTCACATTCGCACACACACACACACACACACACTCAAAGAGAGCAAGCAATTGTCAATATGCAGTTATCGCAATGCTATTATGTATTTATTATTTGCATTAAGAAGTTGTGTGTGGAGTGCAGTGTGGAGTCGAGTCGAGTCGAGTGTAGAGTGGGCGTTGCCATAGCCTACAAGTTTGCAACAACAATTATTGTAAGCCTAGGCAACTCAAGTTTGGAGAGTGCAGAATTCTTATTGGATTTTTCTATAATGGAACTAATTGAGAGCCAGTTTGATTGAAAGTGAATTTGTTGGGAGTGGGCAAACAACAGAGTGGGGGTGGGGAAGTCAGTTATTTAAGTGCTGCTGATAAGCCGCAAACGCGGAAATGGAATTGAACAAATATAATACAAATTCATGCACACATGGCCACACCTAGTAGAAACTTTAAGTATTTTGTTGTTGTTGTTTTTTTGTTTTTGGAGGAGCGGATTTTGTTGGAGCTGCTGCGGCTGACAACTTACCTTTAGTGCCGTCAAATCGATATCATCCAATGAACAATTCACCGATTGTGCCAGTTGTTGTTGCTGGTGCGCCATTTTGATTTGCTATTTTTTTGTTATTCTGTTGCGGCGGCGGCGGCTGCTGCTGTTGCGGCTGCTACTTCACACACACAAACAAACACAAATCACACACACACGCACACACTGCTATGCAGGCTATGCACACCAACACACACTCGCACACATATACGCACACAGAAGCACTTTTTGTTTTTCTCTCTTTTTTGTAAATATTTTTTATGCTGCTGCTATTATTATGGTTGTTTATTATTAAAAACAATTTCAATTATATGCGCATTGCTGGAAAATTTAATTGACAAAAAGCAGACCATTAACAATTAACAATTTATTCATCTATGTACATAAAAAATAAACTATTTGGCTAACAATTTGTATTTGTTGCTGACCATACAACTTTTCTCTTTTGTATGTATGTATGAGTATGAGTGTGTGTTTTGTGTGTGAGCGATACAAGTATGTGTTTGTATGTGTGTAACGTTTAACGGGCGCGGCACGCACTTTTGCACAGATTTGAATTCGTAACTTTTCGAATGCAATTAATATTTGTACGAAACGAGAAATTTAATATTCTTATTCTTCAGCGATTATTCACACACACAAACGGACACACGCACACTTTTCGCTTCGTTATACACATGCACACGCATCCAATATACCGAGGTATATGTGTGTATACGTATGTTTGTGTAGGTAGGTAGACAGGAAAAAAATCTGCCACTCGCTTTTTTCTCGCTCTCTTTGGCTTTTCGTTTTGGGACACAGAAATTTTGCGGTATTCTTTACATACTTAACGCGCACAGCAGTAAATGCTAATTGTTTTGTTTTTTTTTTTTTTTTGCACAACAAGCACAATTTACAACAGACTTGCCTAATTTTCAGCAAGTTCCGGTTTGTACAAGTCGATGGAAAATATTAAATAAATCTATTCGCGAGCGATACGGACAAGCACGTCCGAACTCCGACGCAACAACAACAGAAATGTTACTACCCAGCTGTTAGGTGTCTGTTACAAAGACATAACGAGTCACGGACCAATCGATATATTGTCAGTATTTTTAATGTTAACTTAAATACGATAGTATTTTTATTAACATATTCGTTACTTCTGTTAACAGTAAAATACATATATCTTTTATATCGGTCGATTTGTTGTACAGAATGATTTTGTAATACTTAAATTATCAGGATAGACCTGCATAGTATAAAATACTTTTTTAAAAATTATGTTGAAACTTTAAAAATGCTGTTAAAGTTTGTAGTGTGGCTCCGTATCCAGAGTGCCAAAATGCCATTGTAATATGTTATCGTTCTGTTATTTGATAGTATCAGAAAAATATTGAAAAATACTGTTGAATACCAAAAAACTGCTCCAATAAATATCACAGGCGTCAAAAGTGCGTTGCTTAAAGTTGGCTGTGGGCAATTTGCGTTCTGTTCTCATATTTGCGTTTACGTTACGAATTTTGTAAGGAGAAATGAATTTAATTTTAATGCAAAGGATCAACTAAATGTATGTTACTCTTTACATTTTATAAAAATACATAAATGAAAACTTACACTTAACCTTAAATAACTGTATATTCAAATTGATTATGACCTACACATTTAAATAAATGTATTAATTTTTTTTTTACATATATTTATTAATATTACGTTTTAATATATGTGAAAATTGTATTACTTACGGGACTCATAATATAAATATTTTAATTTGGTTTTATCTGGCAGTTGTGAAGAATTGTTTAAAAATCTGTTAGTTGCGATCGACTAGCAAAAATATATCGTCGACAATGTAATCGAGTACTTTTGGCTTCTACCAATTATCGATAGCTCGATGCTTACTTGCTGCGATGCCCAACTTGAACATCGGGCACAACATTGTAAAGCGAGATCGAGGGTTGACAAGACGTGCGTGAAACTAGCGCGGAACGCTACCGAAAATTTAACCGTAAAAGCAACGTATTAAAAGTGCCAACAACAAAATAAATACATATGTTCACAAAATAGCAAGAAATAAAGAGTAAAACACAATGTCCAAATTATCCGTTGAATGCAAAGCAAACGCAATTGTTAAAGCCGTCTAACTGTTTAGCTCTGCTTTGTCAGTTGTTGCTGCTGCGGCTGTTCTTGTTGCTGTTGTTTTTGTGCTAATTAGAAAGAGCTGCTGCGTTGACTGCTGCGCCGGCGTTCTAATTGTTGGCCAAAAAAATAAAAAAAATTTCCAGCAAAAAAAGCCGCGAAGCTGGTTTTGCGCATCGTTGTATGTGTGTGTGCTTGAACTTATGTGTGTGAGTGTGTGTGTTTGCATTGGATTGTGTTAAAGCACATTAAGGCCAAAAACAAAAGCAACAAGTGACAAAAACCACAAAAATTCTAAGCATAAATTAATGTTCTAAAAAGAAAAATACAAAAAGAGAAAAGTTGTAGAAAGAAAAAAGCTACTTGTGGCATTTTTACAAGTTAATAAATTTCTTCAAGCTGAGATTCTCATATTTTTTTCGACTTTTTCTACAACATAACTGAAAAAAAAAAAACACGCAGCAGCCAAAGAACGCCGCGCATAGCAAAACAATAGCAACAACAACAAACACAGCAAAAACAACAACAACTTTCCGGTTTTCTTAGCTCTCGCAGCGTCTCGTTCTTCTTCTGCTTCTTATTATTTTGTTACGTGTGTTTATTGATCTTCGTGGCTTACGCGTTTGCGAAGACAGCGAGAATGAGCGAGCGAGCTAGAGAGAGAAAAGGACGGAGATAGTGAAAATTTCAATACAAATAAATCATAATTTAATTCAAAACGCAGCACCACACTACAACAACATCAACAAGTCAACGCAGGACGCAGAGGAAAGCAAAAAGGAGAAACGAAAATTAGGAAAAAATCACGCCGTCTGTTAGTGTGTGTGAGAGGCATAAAGAGAGCGGAAACCGTAAACAAAACAAAAATAATAAAACAGCATAATTGGAGTACAGGATTTTAACCAAACACAAGAAAGAAAGAGAGAGATAGCGAGCGCGGAACCGCAAAATAAATTAAAGAAAATATATAATATATTTTCTATACAGGATTTAACAATAAATCATTCACGCTGGATTTAGGATACTACGAGGCTGTTAAAGGTAAATTGGAAATTAAAAACAAATATCATACAACATTTAACATTGATTTTATATAACTGTTAAGCCAGTAAATACCAATCAGAATGAGTTATATTCAATAAACGCGGCCATAATACAAGACATAATAACATTTTTATGCAGTCAACGCACCTGAGCCGCGCTTTATGGCATTCAATAAGCCACAAAAAAGAAATGAAATGAGAAAATAAAAGAAAAACGAAACGATAAAGAGCAACATAACATAACATACGAAACTTGTTGCATAACCCGCAACCAATTCGAACCCAGTTGGAAGCTGTCAAACTGTACAGTTTGATTGGAAGGGCGCACATTGCGTGCGTTGCTGTCATAAAATTGCGAACGCTGTCACACTTTTCTTATTAGCATACGAAACAGACAGCATTTAGAGAGAGAGAGAGAGAGAGAGAGAGAATGGGAGGGGATAGAGATAGAGCAACTGCGCAGCCCGCTTACAGGTGCTCAGCAGCAGCAGCAGCTAGCGAGTTGGTCATTTAGCCTGGCTCGACTGGTAAGCTGTAAACTGTAAACTAGGCTAAATAGGGTCTCTAGCCAAAGCACGTTTTGGTCTTTGCTTTGTGGCCAGCTTGCTTTGGGGCTTGGTTTATTTTTAAACCGCATTCCGCGTGGCATTTTCGCCTGGCCCAGCCAGTTGGCCACTTGCACGACAGTGTTGCCAATTTAGCTTCTCCAAAGCTAGCTTCTTTTCTATTTATTTTCTATATTATTTACTATATAGCTTATATTTTATATACACTAGCTGCTTTTATCTGTTGCTAAAATTAAACAGTAAATATTTAACATTTAAATTTGCTTGGAAATGCTATTACGTTTTGTAGATATTATAAAAATTTTCTATAGTATTTTTTCATTTTTTTAACTGAATAGTTTTTCTGTCTGCAAAATCTAGCATTTTCGCTTTTTTCCAGTCTGGCAACCCTTCCCAATTCTAGGCAAGCACACACACACACAGACACACGCACTCATGTATAAGTACGTTCATGTTAATGCACTACCGTTAATATAAATAGCAGTTTGAGAGGCATTGCGCTGGCCGCTAACTGTGATTTCCATAGTAAGCAAGACAATTGTGGTAAATTAAATTACGCTTAACGGGGGCAGCCAAAGGCCAACGACGCACAAACAGATAAAGCGTGGGAGGGGTAGCGAGATGGAGAGAGAGAGAGGGAAGAGTAAGAGGCAGTGAAAGATCAACGCGCATATGTACTCATGCAGGGCATGTCAAACTGCATATGAAATGTTCATACATATACAAAATTCCAATTGGCAAAGCCAAGTTGGTCCATTTGATGCTTTTGCTGTGCTTTTGTTTTCATTCTTTTTGCTGCTGCAGCTGGCCGCTTGTTGTCTTTGTTGTTGCTATTGCTGCACTCCTTGCACTCACTGCCGTTGCTGCTGCTTGTTGTTGGCGTGGCATTCTTTAGCGTTTTGCGCAATTTGTGCGCTGTACTTTGTTGTTGTTGTTGCTTTTTATTTATACTTCACATTTACAATTGAAAGTTGGCCACACGTAATCCCAAACAGAATTTCAATTCCAGTTCCACTTCCAGCTCCCATTCCAGTTACAGTCGTCAATCAATCACAAGCTCTTGTATTTAGCCCTTCAATCAATCAAAGCAACAAAAAAGTTGATTTTTAATTTTTTTTTTTTTAGCGGCTTCTCTTGTGAAAGGGAAATAAAAAAAGAGTTACAAAATGTTTCTGCTCCCCATATGCTGATAAGAATCATAAATTGAGTTGAGTTTTCAATTTTCCAATGATAATTGCTCAAGTGGAGACAACAGTTCAACTTAGATACGCCTAATTAATTGGAAGATTGACTGCTGCGGGGCGTAAGACCTCTTGAATTAGTTTCAACTGTTGATATGCGCCGTCAATTGAAATTGAACTTGCGACTTCGTTGTGGAAAAGCAAATT